CACGAGCTATGGTTCTGAGACAACGATTGTCGAACACCTGAAGACGTCTCAGGTCCGCTGCTCGAATAGGCCAAGTCTCACAGCCATACAACAAAGCAGCCCGTACTGTAGCTTGATACACACGTCCTTTCTTATTCAGAGATAAACCATGGACTATGAGGTTGATTGGCTACTACATCCCTTACTGCCCACGAAACCACTTCATAAACAATAACTACGTGCTATACTACTACCAGAAACTCGCCATAACAAGGAAGCAAACTATCAGTAGCTTGTTGTGGGCTCCACCTTCCCTCAACTTGTGCTACAAACATAATTTTCCACCGCATTTTCTCCCATTTCTTCCCGTATTGTAAATGTGTCTTTGCTCGAAAATGATTTCTTTTCAGAAACATCCAGGTTAGTCCCTTCTCAGTGTTCGCTGCCTCCGTTTCACATTCTAATTGTATCATTGCTTACCTGTTCTTTTTATGCTACCGCTCTGCTTTGGCTGTTACTTGGCTACTGTGGCTTTTTGTGATGGTGTTTTCAGCTCGTGATTGTGGTGTGTCTATTGACTGCAAAACTTGCTACGTTGACCAGTGTGGACTAACGTGAATCACTCACTCCGTATATCGTGTGCTCTCTTCTGATTCGCCTGCTTACCGGATATATGGTGCTGTATAATGCCCATCTAAACGTAATGACTGCTGGAACAATGATAGAACCTATTCAGATACCACTGGATACTTGTTTATCAGCCGCTTTGGAAACCGCTCTTAGGGAGGTTGCCCAGTCTGCATTTTTGCCATCCGGAAAGTGACTTCGATAACTAACTTGCTCGTTCTCTTCAACTCCGTCTTGCGCTATAAATTATCCTTCAAACTCATTGCCTCCCTCATATTCCCGACTTCCATAAATGCGTCGTACGCCAGTCGCTTTAAATTTGAAGGTCATGGCAAGGGGGACAACACTGAAAATTACATCAGGCGAAACAGTCACGATTGGACCACCGAGGCTGACGCCTTTCAAGGACAAAGCAACTGAGACCTAAACATGACTAAGTCACTTAGACGTAAGTTGTGATTGATGGGAACCAAATCTCATGTGTCACGCGCGTGTTCAGTACCCAACACTGAGTGAAATCTGGCTGGGTTTTCAGGTCGCGGGTGCCACTTGCCTCCGTGGGGATGGGAACACCGGGATCAGATATCTAGTAAATCAGCCCTATCGAACTTGATGAAGTGGGACCATTTGGATGGCTGTGGATCCGACGAAATATCACAGTGTACGCACTGTATCACATTGTATCACATGACGTTGAATTTGATCCGATGGTTCTGGGCCAATGCATGAAGGATAATCACTGAGGCAAGCTCTAATTCGTTTAACTCACTGGAGTTTCTCGAAATCGTGTTAAACTGCCGTTTGTGTTCATTAACCAGGACCTTGTCTACTGGTTTACTCAATGTAGACACAGTCGCCATCGGATTAGTCGGTATTGGGGCACAGTTGGTTCAGTCCTGTGGTTCGATTAACCTTTTACTTCGATTTAGTTGTCTCTGTACTGTGCTATTCATTGGGGAACTAGTGTGAATGTTTGAGGAGACTGATAATGTTGCCGTTGGTCTTGAGACTGAAAAGAGAACAGCTTCTCTAGACTGTTCTGTTTTCCGGAATAACACGCATTTTGAAACCATCGTACCACAAGTCATTTCAGTCAGATCGGCGCTCGGACTTCATCATCATCATTGACAGCAATGCCGGATGAGAACATTGGTGTTTCACTGCTGTACAACAATTTTAATTTGTCTGAATAAAGTCTTTTTTGGAAACAAGAAAACATGGGAGATAGATCCAAGGCTAGCCGACCAGAAAAAATCCGATGCCTGAACTTCAGCCCTGTCCATTTATTAGGCATTAAGAGAGGAGAGATCCGAGACCGAAGAACTCGTATCAATCCACCATTCATGACAGCACTCCACTCGGTTTATGACCAGTCTAATCGAACCTGAAATAGACGGTCGCCTACCAGGCAAAGTTTGCGATCTTTCCGAAGCATTTCTTCGTCAGTATCAACGATCTCCACCCCGTTGGCCTCCGTCGTGGTGAGTGAAGTATGGACGTCTCCCATCATAGATACAGAAGCCTGTTAAGTTCGATAGACCTGCCGACCCAAGTAACGGAATCGCAAATAATTACGGAGGGAAAAGCATTTAGTACCATCGGAATACCTGGTCAGCCTCTAACTGGACACACAAGAACAAGTCTAAATCATGACATGACATCTCAATAGATCGAGTCCACCATGCGTGGTGGGAAAGTTACTAAACACAAACACATACATGACCCAACAATGACGGCTCACGTGACACCATACTGGGTATTGTTATCTCTGTGACTTGGAAACATTTACACCTCAGTCATTTGGTCCTTGAAAGGTGCCAATTTTGGTGTTTAAATCGTATGACTGTTTCATCTGATATAGAATTTTCATCGTGAACCATTAGCTTTCAGCCGTGTGATGGAATCGTCGCTGGGTGCTAGCAGTTTGGTCAAGGTCACAGTTTGGCCACAAGGTCATCATCGACTGACCGGCAAAGGCCCATTCACCTGTATTTCTTTTTACCATATAAACATGTTCGAACGTTGTAGCTGTTTTTTCTCACCGGTTGTAAGCTTTTTCGCAAAGTGAGGATGTTTGCGATTTTCAACGGATATTTCGTCGTGTAAGTGAAGTCAGTCTATACTGGAAAGCCGAGAACTGACTGTTTCATCTCTCAGTGGGAATCATCAGCAGTGCGTAGCTGAAAAAACCTGAGGGGACTTTCGAACCGGCGACCTCCCAGCCAGTAGTTTAAACACTCAGCCGTTGGACCATGCACGTCCGAACAGCAGTGATTAAATTAACCTTGAAATGCCTGCACAGGGCTTCTCTACTTGTTACCGTAGGCTGGCTCCAATTGCAGGATCAAAACTTCCAATGAAAGTCTTGTTCATTCTGTACTACTACCTGGCCCGAGTTTTCTCGATCGTTGCCTTTGCATTTACTGTCTGCTTTCCAGAATCCATCTTGGAGGTTTCTACAAGGGTCTCGAGACAGATAAGACAGATTTCCTGTTCGCACTTTCGAACTGGCTTCGATTTACCAACCCTGCGTTGTTTCCAGAACTTCCATGCGTATTGCTGTAAGTCCTGTTCATGTCTGAATAGAATGTCTGTTCATGTGTGATATGGTCATGCCCTTGGCTAATTGCAAAGATTAGTCTTGGAATAATAGTTTGGGAGGGGTATAAACATTGCAGAATGTATGTTTCAATGTTTGAGAAAGCTCAGTTATCTTTTTTGCTAAGAATAAGTAAATTGCAGGATTATATCTGCACCTCATTGTCCTAAAGGAATATACTCTCTCTACTCGTACCTCGGTTCAGGTTCTCGGACTTTATTTTCGGGAACTGAGTAAAATGCATCTTTCCGCTCAGTGTCACGAAGCTTGTGAGAGCGAGCCGCCCAGGCTACTCGAAGAACATAACGTTGCTTGGGCGGTTGTATGATGAATTGCCCACGTGCCAGAAGTGACTATGCTCTGATTGGTCATAGAGAGCCAAGCGTTTTAATTTAGACCCACTCGTCCTCTCACGAAAATTTCAACGGGACTTTGCGGGACTCGACTGTATACTGTAAGATACACCTGTAATCCCTATCCAAAACTGCCACCTTTTCATGGTGGCTGGGATTCTGTGTTGTAACGATCCTGCAGGCTACATTGCCTGGAGCCCAGTCCCTTAAGATTCAGCCCTGCCAGAAAGCCCGACGAAGAGAAACGAGCCCATGTACTATGTGGAATTTAATTACCAAGCGGTTTGAAATCAAAGTTATACTGTTTGCCCCAACAAAAAAGAGAACACTAAGATGCTTGCCCTGAGTGATCTGCATCTCCACGTGTGGAAACATTGATGTTAGCTTTCCCCAATAAGGATGGGTTGGAATAGGTTCACCCCAAAAACCGCTCACTCCTATCGTCCAACGGCTAACCATTGCTGCAGGTGCGCTATCCAATACGGTCGACATACTTTTAAAAAGGAGACGGATCTGAAAGACGAACTGTTTCTAGTAGGAAGGTGCCACAGCATTCTGTGGCACTTCGCCCGAATCAATGTGGCCCGACTGGTTGTTCAAGAGGAGCGACGACATTATACATCCTGCTGGAGTCAAACATCGCAAGAAGACTGTCGTGAACACGGTTTCTTATCAGGTTATCAAGGAGTAATTGATCGACCATACTGCGTTCGCCCGCGAATGATGGCCATGTGCTTCGAAGCCAAGGTTTGCCACATTTACCAGATTTTGTGCCCCCAAGGTGTCACACTCTGATGAGGAAGAGAACAGATTTCATTCCCAACTTTCACACCTGGTCAGATCTGTGCTCCGGGTGACAGGGGCTTAGGGACCTGGAATAAGATACTGAGTCCACTTGGAATCGGACCCATGAAGGACAACGGTAAGAGGCTGATGATGATTTTTGCAGCGTAGCTCACTGTGGGGCAGACATCGCTTCCCACGTGGCCTCCTTCAAGAAGTGGACAGTGGCGAAGTGCTGTTGTTAATGTGGAGCTGAATGTAATACAAATCACTCTCTGGTGTGTATCAAAGTACTTTTCTCACCTGAAAAACTGTCACTAGGTGAACCGGGAAGAAACTCGTTCAAACTGGATGTAAGAAAACTGCGTCCAAGTTTCGCGAAGTCTCAACACAAATGGCTCCTGGATAGCCAAGTCCGAAGCACATTCGAATGCCAGTGGGTCCCAATACGAGCACATATCCAAGCACATCTTGTGGATAATAAAACAATAATAACCGTTTAGTTGCAAAATCCTTTCAGTATCTAGCTGCCATGCCACCCGGAGGAAGCACGGTGACTGAGATGCTGTCAAGTTGCCTATGTCTAGGCAGAAGCAGTCGAAATGGTCAGGTTCGGTTTGAATCACGGACCTTCCATTCAGTAAGTTCGCGCCACCACTGAGCTATCTCGAGCTGTGAATACAATTGGTTCAGAGCAAGAATTCAGGCGAGGTTGATTTGATGAGAAGGGCTCCTCAATATCTACTTTAATTCGAGAGAATGGTTTGGGGCTCGTCAAAGCAGCGGCTAGAAAACAACTTAAATTGCCGGGGCCGAGCTTTTGAAACTCCTGCGGGAAGCAAACGAGGTGAAGAGCCTTAATCGTACGTGGATCGCCGGTGTCACAAAAAATTTTCATCGAACTGAAAGAAATCTGTGGACCGAAAGTCTAATATATTCAACTGATAAAAAAACAGCGAATAGCCTGACAAACCCGACAAAATTCTGACAGCTTGGAAACATCAATGTTCAACACCACTCAACCGACCAAGAAATGTTGCTTCGAATTTTGTAGCTCGTTATCACGGCATAGAGTGAGGACCTCGAGATAGCTCGGTGGTAACAGCATGAGTTTACTAACCGGAAAGTCCGTGGTTCGAGCCCAACCTCTGTATCTCAACTGCTTCTGTCTAGGCAGTACTTCGACCCTCGTACTTCCCTTGGGTGGCATGACAGCTAGGCACCGAAAGGATCAGCCAGGCACTTAAAGGGTCTTACAGCTGGATTGGTATTACTACTACAGTGAGGAACTACTTGGCTTGCTTACCTACAGCCGCATAGCTGTGGAGGGCTATAAAGCATATGCAGAGAGGAGAACAGCTGGACTGAACGGCGTGTCCTTGGAACTGTACGGACTTGGAAAATCGATACTGTAAAATTAGGATTTTCACCTGCTGTGCACAATTTTACCGCAAGAAAAATGTCTCGAACGGACTCAACCACTAATTGGACTTGGTCAATGCCTTCGACTCAGTCAGCGGCGAACTACTACGGGGATTCCGCGAAAGCTTGGCTGTCTAATCCTATTTGTCAACTATATCAGATTATTTCACACTGGATGGAGTGTCGTGTCGCCGTCTTGAACAAGTTCGAAGTCGATACAGGATTGAAGCCGCGTTGCGTTCTTGCTTTAGCTATGTTCAGCCTATATTCGACCAGGAGATATGTAGTTCTCGTGGAAAGTGTACGCTGAACCTGTGGTCTTCGCAAGTATCTGGTTCCATTATTCCGGTTCGAAGTGCACTGTCCTTAGGAAGGCGCAGTCATCGACTTGATGACTACATTTCCTTCGATACCCTGAACAGTCTCTGTGAAGTTTTCGCATTATACTGATTTTCATACTCGTCCGATCTGATTCCGTATGTGCACCAAAGAATGGTTGATTATGCATCCGTATGTTGGGTACTTTTGAAGTCATGAACAGTTTCTTAAATGACTGATGTTCGTCTTTATGGTGTTAACTGAGCTCTTACTTGTTGATAAGGTTTTCGATCCACCCCCCTCGTTCCTTTCTAGGCAAACACGGCGTGATCAGACGGAGTTGGAGATTGAATGGGAACTGTTCACTCACGGGCATCACTTTGATCCAGTTCGTTTGGTGAATGTAAGTTTGTCTCTATTTTGAATGCGTCAGTGTCAGTAAGAGGTTGTTCCCCCTTGACCTTTCGTAAGGTGGCCTAGCTACTATGCTACCCGAAGGAACAACGAGGGCTTAGATATTGTCAGGTTGCATAAGCCTAGACACGCAGTCGAGACGCCTGATCGCCGAACCAGGGATCTTCCAGTTTTAACCACTGAGCTTTCTCGAAGCGGCCATGATGTTTGGAATATATACGATGCGGACTCTGTTGTGGACCGAGTGGATTAACGAGGAACTGGCTTTACCTGCAATCTGGTTTATCATTTAGGTCACGTGTCCTTCCTTTAGAGTCCTTTCCACACAGTTCTGGGTCTGTTGAAACAGATTCGGATCGAATCAAGTTTCGAAGCATTGGGAACTGTTGTTTCCCACTTACTCCAATCAACCCATCACCCGTTTACCGCTCCCTCCTTTATAATGGAGTTGTATAAGATGTTTCCGCACTCCTCATCGCGTAATTGGACGGAACCGCGACAGCGAAGACCACTCTCAGTTCCTTCTTAGGTGCGTATAGGCTATATAATTACTTTTACTAATTTAGGCCCGTACACTTTCCTTGCACATAATCAGTAGTAGTAGAGTCTTTAGAATGCGTTACCAAGGTTTTCGTTCAGTGCCTTTTGCTTTTCGGTAGCTCACCCTCCGGCTTACCCCCTCATCGATACCTCGAGTATCGTACCAAATGAAACATGAGGCGGCCCTCGTGCAACACATTCAGTTAGAGAACACCATCAATGAGAGATTCGGCTAAGTCTTTCATTAACACCAGCGTCAAATTTATGGCTCATCTTTCCCTTTTCAGCTTCTCACGTTGTCTGAGGCCAAACTCAGCCTGAACATGCTCACCCATGTCTCCTCACCGAAATTCTTCTCCATCTCTAAGGAGGAGTATAACTTGGCCTGCCGCTTGTTTTTGGCACTGTTTCGCATTTGCTCCCTGGTCCCGGGACTACACTCCTTCCCCACAACTCTGCTAACTCGGATCTATTCCGGGTATGTCAGACTTATTGGATGAGTTTTAAACTACTTGGTTTTGGCTTGTTCATAGCTCCCTTCTCTCTCAGCGAGTACAGTATCATTGAAAAAGTACAGTTGTTTGGAAAGATTACCTTTGATTCCCTTAGGTGGTTTCCCCAGAAATTGGTTTAAATGTCGTTATTCTTATTGTTTTTTTAGTTTTGGCGTCCCCGCGCGGATTCCAACCCTCGTGTGTGATACCTTTTATCTTTTTTTCCTTCCTTTCAGAGAGAAATCTCGGGCCATCGGTGCTTGTTCATCCGACTCAAGTCTACCAGAATGTTGGCCTCCGTGGTTCCGTGCTATCTTACAGTTATTAGCTGATCCAATAACCAGGTGCGTTATGTGATACTATGTTTGACGACTGATGTGAGATTTTTTGTTTCCCACTCCCGTTGGATTTTTTGATTTGAAAATCCCAATCTCATCATTGAATTTTGCTATTTTTGTGTATGGTCTTTCATTTGAACTGATCTACTACTCCCAGGCACTTAGGTTTTACCAGCTGGACTTTTCTTCCAAACTAAGACCTTCAAACAGGTATCGATGCCTAAATGCCATGACACCCGAAAGAAGCACCAGGGTTGGGATACTTCAGGTTTCTCAAACCCAGACAGGAACGGTCGCAATGCCGGGGCTAGATTCGAACCGTGAATCTTCGAGTCAGGAAGTTCACACCTCAACCACTGTGGCATCTTGAGCTCACTGGTGATATGTGGCTTGTGCGAAGTCAAGTTGCTGGATGTGTACAGAAGAAACTGTCTTTATGATTCGAACAGCTAGGATCAGACGCGTATACGAGGCAAAATATACAGCTCGTTATTTTCAGGAAATTCGAAAGTAGTAGGTGAACTCATGTCTGAACGATCCCTCGCCAGATGCGTACTTGAAGGATCTTCGCGTTTGTAGCTTGCTTAGAAAATGTTTGCATTTAAAACCATGAGATCCCATTCCGAGATTCTCGTGGGAAATTCAAGTTTCCAGACGTCGACCGAAAACTCGTAGACACTGCATGGTGTTGATCGCCAGTACCTGACTACATTCAAATATGGTCTCACACAATCAATGCGTTCTATTTCTTGATCAATGACACTTGAACGTGACGAGATNTACTGCCAGGTTGCCCAGGCCTAGACAGGAGACGTCGAGTTGCAGAGACTGGGTTCGAACCTTCCGACCAATTCGCACTCTAACTACTGAGCCATCTCAAACAAGTATGGTCTCGTGTGTAAGGTAGAGTGAAACTAGCAATGCCATACCACCCTTTTGTGGTGCCGATCCCTCAAAGTGCACCTCAAATTTTATAGGTTCGAGCCCAGAGAGAAGCACGTTTCTTATGGAATGAACTATTCCAAGAGTAAATAGAAATTACAGCACATACGAATGATGAACCAGAAGAGACAAAAATGGGAGTCAAAATTTGGGGAAAACATATGATATAACGTTTGGGTTAATTTGAAATAAGTGAGCAGTCATTTGACTACGGCTACTCAGTAGAGAACGCTAAAAATTTGTGGAACTTCACGTCTTGGACGGATGTATCGACCAGAATACCTTCTTTTCAAATGTTGCTATTACTGCTTTTTTATGCACGGAAAAACAGTTCTGACATGGATTTTGAACCGCAAGTTCCAGAAAAGCCAGTGCCTTAGTAAACACCCGAAGTCCCTCAAGGTTTTTTTATATGTGTTACGTTGTCGGAGGTTGCTATTACTGCTTTTTTATGCACGGAAAAACAGTTCTGACATGGATTTTGGACCGCAAGTCCCAGAAAAGCCAGTGCCTTAGTAAACACCCGAAGGTCCCTCAAGTTTTTTTATGTTACGTTGTCGGAGAACACTCTGGGTACTGTCCCTTAAGCCTGCTCACTGCTTTTCCAAAGTATATCCGATCCCTGAGATGCACCCTAAAAATTTCTCCACAATACCATAGTGAAAGACTATTTTTAGGCCGTAAAGCGTCCCGTGTAGCATTGCGAAGCATTGAGTACTTTGTACAACCTTGCGGGCTAAAATCATTCGAAAAAATAGTTTTAGTTCCATAAGGTGCCGTTGGCAAAAACGAACTATTTTGAACAGGCGGTGATTCGTGATCTTATAATGATAACACTCACGGGTGAACCACCACCCATGTCAGCTTCGGAGGTCAACATACCGAAATTTTGAACTCTTTCAAGTGGAGGATCGACCGTTCGCATGACTTGCGAGTCGTGCTACCTGTAACCGTTTCGTCTAGATCTTTGGGGAGGGGGAGCAACGAACCAAGAACCGGATGGGAATCACCTCAGCAGGTGCGAGAATTTAGAATCTCAAGGAGGGTTGTTTTGTTCGCTCAATCGTGAATAGCCGAAAGTTCGAAAAATACATATTTCGAATATTCCGTGTTCATTGTCAGTCTATGTCCCTAATGAGGATCGTTTCACATACAATAAACATTGCAGATTTGTGCGAATTCGGTCTCTTGAATCCACACGCCAATGTGTGTCCGGCCGAGTCTCGAAATCCGAATTATCAGGTTTGTGATGATTGGTTGATGCCTCCTCCCTCACCGTCGGTCCTGCTGCGTTGTTCCTCAAACGGGATGTGATTGAATTCAAGTATTTAGTTTTTTTTCGGCAGATATTGCGTCATCTGCACCATCCTATTTCCTGTTGTTTAGTCATCATCGTCCCCACTGTTACCTTCATTATTATACCAACTCAGGCAACCTAAGTTCAACCATCTCGATCGCCAGTTTTGCGACCCAAATTGTACGACCGACTTTTACTGCATGCAATTTTGAAGTAAAAAGCGAGAAAATTCAGATTCACGTCACTCTCTCCTGAACAGTCATCCTCCCGTTCTGGCACAGTTATTCTGGCCACGCCAAAGGAGGGGAATCACTGAACTCGAGTTTCGCTCTTATTAGAACTCATCAGCAGCTCGTATCCTTGGCCGTACCGGGCTTTGAACTCCGTGCAACTGACATGTGAGGTGAGCGTTGGTGCGCAAACGTGAGAATGTGGTTAGTGCTAGCAGTCATTACTAAAGATATTGTACAATATCTTGTCCAAAGGGCGCGCACCCTTGGGAACGTCCCAAATCGCACTCTTTGGGAAGC